CTTTGTCTGTCTGGCGAGCGCCCGTGCCATATAGCAAAAACCCCCCCAAAAAAAAAAAAAAAAAGAAAAAGAATTCAAGGGTTGTATAACGATGCTGATAGGTCCAATTACTGTTAACTCACACAGAACAGGGAGTGCAAACATGTGTCCCATTGCTGATTTACCGCTTGACCTTGCTTCTAGCAGTCACCCCTTTAATGGATTGTTGGAAAGAGTCTACATAAGGGAAAGTTGTTTCCTCACAGGAGGAGGACACCAGTGGGGATTATATGACTCCCTCTATTATATGATCTGTCTAATGACTAGAAGAAATTTGTTAAAGTCTCTGGAAAATAAAGGTTGGTCCTCTCTGTTTTCTAGTGATGAAATATATTCTATTTTCTAAAATATTTTCTTGGTTATTTCAGTGGAAATCCTTAAAAGCGTAGGAGACAGTGATCAGTTTAGTTTTGTTTATCTTACCTGCATCTTGTCCAGTGTATATGATCTTTACCAGCATGTTTATTTTGATAAAAATACAGGCAGAGAATTATTTTTAAAATTTACTTTTAACATTTATGCTTACATACTAAATTTGTTAGACAAATTGCATTTAATTTTGTCAGATGTCTGTCCTGAAGCTAATTAGTACTTATCATTTGCTTTTTAGAAAATGGATTCTACATCTGTATTACCAACATTTTCAGATGTGAGTCTGACAATATCTCATGTTGAGTGTCTCCCCAAGGATATTTTGGTGAAATTTCAAGGCAGAAATAATGATGAATGTGAGTTTGACTACCATATATTGCAGAGGGAAATGCAACATATTCCAAAAGTAAAAAATAATGTAGACATTGATGAATTTTGTTTGGTGGGAAGAAAGAGGGTCTGGAGAATGGCAGAGAGCAAGAGTTGTGGAAAAGAGAAAAGAACTCTATACAGTGCTCCTTATAGATCATGGAGAAGAACTAAGAGTTGATAGTACACAGATTGCTTCAGCCTGTGGCAGTTTATTTGAGCTACTACCATGGATAGTGTTTGGTATTTTTGCCAACATACTACCAATTGGGGAAAAGGGGTCTCCCAAGGCTTTGAATTATTTCAAGTCACTAGTAGGAATACAAGTGAAAGGTTATGTGCAAGCTATTTTGCCCCTGCAAATGATACTTCTTAAAGTGCCAAAAAGTACATCACAAGCTCTTGAATTACAGTTAGGAAGACTTACTGATGGAGATTCATATTGTCTTATTGTGGAAATGTTGAAAGAATTTCCTCACCAAATGCCAGGTTTATTACAGCATGAAAGATCTGATTTGTCATTAAGCAATAGTGATACTTTACTTGATATTCAACATGTTCTGGATAATTTGCAGCCTTCTTTGTCAATAGGAAGTATTAAAAGTGTAAAGGTATCATCTACATTGAGCACAAATAAATTTTTTTGTCAGTTAATTGAAAGGATTCCAGAGCTGGAAAACTTCACAGTGTGTATGACTTTGCATTATGACATTACCAGCCAAGAAACTAGTGCCACATGTGATAATTTTGGACTACTTTGTGTTCCCAAAAGGAGAGATGGACAGTGGCATAGAGGAATTATGCAGCAACTCTTGCCCAATAACCAAATAAAAATTTGGTTTATGGATTATGGCCATAGTGAGGCTATACCCTCAACTCATGTAAAGAAACTTAAGCAGAATTTTATTTTTGTACTATTATTTTCATTTCCGTGTACTCTGACGTATTTACACAGTCCAGATAGAGATGCAAGAAAATTGCAACTGAGTTTACTTAAACAGGCTTTGTTAGGGCAGATAGTATATGCACACATTGATTGGTTCAATAAGGGTAAGCATTTATATTATGCGACATTACAAACTCAGGAGTCTACAATTAATTCAAAATGTCTGCTAAAAACTCTAGGTTCTCAAGTACTTTGTCCAGTGTCTGATTCAAAAATATCATTTGCTGAGAACATATATGTTGATGTGCTTGATTGAGCCAATGCACAGTGTATTTTGGATGGAAGATTCATATGTGTGTTGTGATGAGAAAAGAAAATAAATTTATAATAAAAAAAAAACAATTAAAAAGATACCACTTCGAAAAAAAAAAAAAAATCTCCAATATCTTGAATGACACTAGTCCTCATGTAAACGGCTTTGCAGTTGAGGATTTTATAGGGAATACTGCAAGGTCAGTAGACTCGCTAAATAAAAAAGACATTTTAAAAATAGGTTTTTCTATGAAAACTGTGGAACTGGAGATAAAGGCTACCTATATAGGTTTTGTAGCATATGTATTAAACCCTTCTAATTTCTGGGTGTGTGCTAATGATCATCAGAATGAATTTCAAGACATGATGAAAAATATAAACCAATTTTATGATTTATGTGAGAATGATGAACTGATGCTAATAAATCCTGAACCTGGATTCTATTGTTGTGCTAGATATAGCCATGACAGATGTTTTTACAGAGCTGTCATCACTGAAATTAATGGTTGTAAGATTGATGTTTATTTTTTGGATTATGGGAATACTGATTCCATGCCATTTTTTGATGTAAAAATTTTGCTTCCAGAATTTTGTAAATTACCTGCCTTAGGCATGTGTTGCTCACTTGCACATGTATTTCATGCTGAAGATTTATGGGTGAAGGCAGCAATTAATTATTTAAAAAAATGGTTTTGAACAAAGCAATTTTGCTTCAGGTAATAGCAAAAAAAAAAAAAAAAAGATGACAAGTACACTGTAAATATTCAGAGTATTGAAACCTCAGAAAATACTGATGTTGTGTCTCTTCTGTTACAAGCCGGATATGCAGAATATTGGGAAGTAGAACCAGAATGTTTTCCAAAACCTGTTAGTGAATATTCAGTGTTAAGTTTAAAATCTAAAAACAAAGTTAACATTAAAGTCGTATCTACTCTTAATAAAAGACCTAAACCTAAAAAGTACCATTCAAATAAGCTGGAGAATAATAAATTGTCTTTGTCAAAGTTACCAGCTGTTAATTCCTCAGATTTAAAAAATCCTTTCACCTTCTCTGTTGGACCTAAGTCTGCACAGCCTTATAAAGAATATATGTTTAAACCAGGAACAGTTCTTAAAGTTAAATGTTCTTGTTGCCATGGCCCAGGTGATTTTTCATGCCAGCTCCAGTCTAAGTTAGATGACCTAAAATTACTAATGGAACAAATTCAGAATTATTATAGTGTTCATTCTGATTCTTATCAGATTGGGCATGTTGCTTGTGTTGCTAAGTAGTCAAAAGATGGGAAGTGGTATAGAGCTGCTGTTTTGACTCAAATATCAAAAAAAGTTGACATATTATTTGTTGACTATGGTTACCAAGAAAGAGTTTTAATTAAAGACCTTTGTGCTATTAAGCCATGTTTTCTGTTTTTAGAAGGTCAAGCCTTCAGGTGTTGTCTTAACTATTTAGTTGAACCCATGAGTTGTAAATTGTTCAGTTGGACCAGAGAAGCATCCAGAGACTTTGGGGATTTTATTTCTTCATCTAGAGGGTTATTGACTTGTGTCATTTATGCCTTAGCACTTATACATCCAAATCGTTTATGTAGTCTAGTGGACTTACAGTCTTCACTTAACTAGTGCAAGAGAATATTTTATTAATCATGGTTCCACATAGTACAGCTTATCAAAGCCCCTCCCATCTTCAGTTAGTCTTTACAGTTACTATTATTCTTCCTTTAATATAAACATTAGAAGTGAAGAAGTGTACATATTTCACATATATAGTCCCAAAAGGTTTTATTGCCAACTTAGTAGAAATAATAAAGATTTAGAAATCATAGAAAGAAAAATCACAGGAATTATTAACTTCAAAAATTGTCCAAGATATGATTCTAGTAAAATGAGAGCATGCGTATCTCAGTATGTAGAGGATGGTGTCTCATACAGAGCTCTAGCAGTACCAGTAGATTCATCATCTGACTTTCTAGTCTACTTTGTGGACTTTGGAAATAAGCAATTAGTAGTAGAAAATATGTTGAGGGCCATTTCAGATCAGTTTCCAGAGTTGCAGTTTATACCTATGCAGGCTATTAAGTATTATCTCTCAGATCTCAGAGATGTAGATATTCCAGCAGAAATCAAGAACTGGTTTGAAGACAATTTCTTGGGGAAACCATTAAAGGCAGTGATATTGTCTAGAGAGTCAGATGGCCAGCTTGGTATAGAGTTGTATGATAGATATCAACAAATAAATCAGGAAATGAAAATGTTGCTTCATGTTTATAGGAAAAAACATTGTGATCAAGCACACTGTATAGAAAGCAGTCTTAAAATAAATGAGAGTAAGAGACTTGTGCCTTCTTTGAAAAGCAAAATAGAAAACAACTACCATAATATGAAAAATAATACTAGTTTGGTGACATTTTCTAAAAGCAAAAAAGACCAATCAGTGCTTCCCAAAAGTATGTATACCAGGCTTTTTTTTTTTTTTTTTTTTAAAGAGGTTTTTGCTCTAGGGTGCATGCGCTCGCCAGACAGACAGAGAGAGACAGAGAGATAGAAAGCAAGAAATCACTCCCCAGGGGGGATGGCCATGCCGCAATCCCTTCTCCTCCATTCTCCTCTCGGGATCTTGGGTACGCATACACTAACTGCTGGTCCCCTATGCCCGGCTATTTTTTTTTTTTTGAGAGATATTCACTGTAGGGCGCGTGCGCTCGCCAGACAGACAGAGAGAGACATAGAGACAGAAAGCGAGAAATCACCCCCCAGGGAGGATGGTCACACCGCAATCCCTTCTCCTCCATTCTCCTCTCGGGATCTTGGGCACACACGCACATGCGCCCGGCGTGAGTTTTAAGCCACCGGGTCCGGGACACGAACCGCGGTCGACTACATGGGAGTCCAGCAACATAGCCATTACGCTAACTGCTGGTTCCCTATGCCAGGCTTTTGAAACCATCAGTTGTTTATAAATTTGAGTCTGTGTCAGAAAACAAAGTGAAGAAATCTTTGAATGATGGACTTAAAATTAAAGGTATAAAAATTGCCCCCGGATCTACACATACTCTTAATGAAAATGATATGGGCCAAAAATCAGTAAAAGTGGTGTCACAGTCTTTTATTAGAGAGTTAAGTCAAGCAGCCTCACAAAACCTATATAACTTTATTAGACCACAAATCAGAGACCTTCCTTAGCCTGAAATTTACTTGAATACCAGAGTTAAAGGATATGTTTCTAATATCAGTAATCCAGCAAATTGTCGTATTCAGCTTGCCGAGAATGAACGTATAATTGCCGAACTTGCAGATGCTCTAAATGAGAAAAAAGCAAATAGAGTGAAAGAGAGAAAACCAGTTAAGCCTCTGGTAGGAGATCTTATTGTTGCAGAATATTCTGGTGACAGAGCCATTTACAGAACAGTTATAAAGAAAATTTTGCCAGGAAGTTCTTTCAGAGTGGAATTTATTGACTATGGTAACACTGCAATAGTAAACACATGTAAAATTTATGAACTTAAGAGGGAATTCTTAACTATTCCTCAGCTAGGAATCCATTGTTTTCTTAGTGGAGTCAAATGGAATGAGCCTGATGAAATATGGGACAGTGAAATTGTAGAATATTTTGCTTCAAGAGTAAGTAACAAAATAGTTTCATGTGAATTTTTGAAAAAGCATGAGTAAAAATGGGAAGTAAATATAATTTGTGATGACAAATGTATTACTAATGAACTACTGAAATGGATAGCATTATGTTCAAAACTACAGAAGACAGTGTCACAGATGCCTCAGGTTGTCTCTCAAAAGGTGAGCCATGGAGATGATAATGAAATGAGCAAAGAAAGATCAAATGAATATGAAGGTTCTGTGATCCTTCCACCAGCCTACCAACAGCTAGTTAAAATTCCTTTTGAAGAGTTAAAACCTGGACAACTTGAAAAAGCGCAAATACTTTGTGTTTCAAAAAGTGGAAAATTTTATGTGAAGTTATCAAAAAATAAAAGAAGATTATCAGATTTAGCAGTATTAATTAATAAAGAGGAAGAACTTTGTTTTTTATCAATGGAAAATATTGAAAAAGACTTAGAATGCTTGGCAAAATCTAAAAACACTTTGAAGTGGTATCGATCAAAAATAGAAAAGTGTGTTGATGAAAAAGTGCTTGTTTTTTTAGTAGATCATGGTAGGCATGAAGTGGTGCCTTTATGTAATACCAAAGTGCTTAGTAATGAAATCAGAAATCTTCCTAGACAAGCTGTGCCTTGTAAATGGATTTGGTTTGAAAATTCTGGAAACATACCACTTGAGTCCATTTTATGTTTATTTGTTCATTTGGCAATAAACATCCTTTTCTTAAAATATTTAGACTGTCCTTGGGAGGTAGAAATTTTGGTAGAATTTAGTAGATGGCCTACTACTTTTGGAATATTTAAATTTAAATATAGTTCAGGTTGAAGACGACAAACCTAGATCGTCAGGGATACATTTCAGCTTGGCATCCAAGACTCCTGTGTCATCATGTGCAATAAGATTGTTTACTTGGGCACAGCTCCAAAATGGTAGGTGGTATTCTGGTATTGCCTCTACTGTTTCTGACCGTCAGACTTGTGTGTTCAGTTAGAAGATTTCTTTGACACAATGAAATATCTCTTTATGTTGCTCTCTGATCTCCCAGGAAATTTACAAACATTTCCTCAAGAGCTCATAATTCCTGGTTCTAGTTGTTTGTTCAAATATGAATTGGAAGATCAGTGGAATAGAGTAGAAATTTCTGAAGTTTATGATCAGTCTTTACTTCTTTTGTTGATTGGCTATAGATTTTATATGTATATTCCTTATTCAGATATAGTAAATCTTAAAGGAGTTCCTGAGGAACTTTTGAATTTGCCAAGGCTAAGTTATCCATGTATCTTATATGGTATCTTACCCGCTAAAGGAAAATATTGGGATAAAGAAGACAAAAGGTTTTTTCAAGATTTTCTATGTAAACCAGGCTTGATTTTTTCAGGTTCAGGACTATAGTTTTGAAACAAAACTGAAAGTAGACGTCATCCATGAGAAAAGCAGTTTGGCAGATTTGTTAGTTGCATCTGGTTTTGCAGTGCATTCTAAAGGTTCAGCTCATCTCGATGCAGTCACTGCCTCCGGATCTACTGTAGTCCAATATAAATTACCCAGTATACCTGTTTGCCCATTATTATTTCAAAATTGTTACAAAAAAGAAAACATCAATTGTATATACATTAAGAAACAAAGGCCAGAGAAGCAGAAACCTGTAAAGAAGAAAAATGTCAATAAGAGCCTCTTAAGGAAAAGCCATATAAGTAAAAGCTTCTATTCTAAAAACTTTACAGTGAGGAAGAAAGTTGGAAGTGGAAAATATAATCCCCAGAGTAGCATTTCATTTGATATGTGTGCAGCAGGTCCATTTTGGGAACTGCCTGATGGTTTGAAGAATAACACCAATCTCATTGAAAACATTTTTGAAAAACTACCAACTGCTGAAATACAGGCACATAACACAGTGGACTTGAGAACAGCAGAAAAAGCATTGACTGATAATGAAAAAATTGTATCAGAAGAATGCTTAAGTGGTAAGTGGGCATTTTCTAGAAGTTTTTAAAAATTAGATTGTCTTTGATTATTTAAAAGTTTTTCATGTACTGAATTTATCCAAATTCAAAGTGCCATATTGAGAGAAAGCTTACTAGACAACACAAATGAGTAAACCAAGAGTGAACATTTAGATTATAAAATGATGTTTTACTCGCTTTATCTTTATTGAATTATGAACTCTTTAGAATGTAGTGAAAGTAGAGAATTTTAACCACCACATGCATGCACATATGTATGCCATTTTGCAAATAATTTCAAAGGTTTCACAAAATTCATAGTGGTCCATAGATTTCAGGTCAATAAATATTGTTATTTCTGTGAGCTTCACTGGCTTATTTTGCAGAATCAATTGTCTATTATATACTTAGTTTCATATCATGATGCGATATGTCTTTAGGTTTGAATATACTTCTAGCATATAAAGCTGAGCCTATTATATCTATAGGGTAAACTCAATTTGATATGTTTTCTTTTAAACCTTTTAGATGCCAAACTAGTTCTAAAATTTTATGTACTGTAGTATTGTCTGATATTGCATATGCACATTATGTTCATTTTTTTGTTGGATTAGTTAACCGAGGATTTTGTAGGCTATGAAGAATATTCCCTGTGTAATGTTTTTCTAACTTTTATAAATAAAATTTAGCTCATATTCCATAGTATAACTGGCATTTTAACAGGTTGTATTATTTTAATGAGTGGAGGTGTCTGATTTTATTGATGTTAGCATTTCATTCAATTCATATTCACATGCTTTATAGCGAATTAATAAGTGCTTTACAACTGGCCTCTTCTTTTGTTTGAGTCTTTCAGTATTGTAGCAGCAGTCATAGTAGTGACAGAACAAAGACAATTGTTAAGCAAAATGTCATACTCACTAAAACAAACAATATTGAAGAGCGGGGCTTATACCTGTGGGCAAATTGGCTTACCAATTCTAAATGAGGAACTTATTCAAACTTACCCATTTAGGTACAGACAAGGACATCTTTCTGTGGGGGCCTACCTACATAAAACAGCTTGAGGTAGTTCTCTCCAGAAAGAAAGAAGGAAGCTAATCTAACCTTTCTCCTTCAGAATTGAATAACCAGTTTTCCCCCACTTCTGGAACCATGGGTAGGGGAGTAGAGATCAGGAGTGCCGTTCTAGGAGAATTACCTGTCTGCGAATATTTCCACATGGTAGGAGACATCAGGAATGCGGGAAGAAGCATTCCTCCCAATGTTATGATCACCGTGTTAGGGATGCAGCTCAGAGATATTAAGTATATTGCTCATGGATATAAAGCTGGTAAATAAGGGACTCAAATGTTAAGCTTTGATGTTTCTGTCTGCTTTTATTAGTATTATTTAGACTGATTTCTAAAAAGTAGTTAGATTAAGAATTTTCTGTAAACTACTGGTCATCAGACCCAACTTTAGCTGGGTGTTTTTTTTTTTTTTTTAATTTGCTTCAGGGTTTATGCACTCTCTCACTGGAGAAAGAGACAGAAAGAGAGAGAGCGAGAGAGCGAGAACGAGCAAGAAAGCAAGAAAGCCCACTCCAGGGAGATGGCCATGCTGCAATCCCTTCTATATTCTTCTCTTGAGATTTGGGCAAGAGAGAGAGCGAGAGAGCGAGAACGAGCAAGAAAGCAAGAAAGCCCACTCCAGGGAGATGGCCATGCTTCAAATCCCTTCTATATTCTTCTCTTGGGATTTGGGCATGCTCACACATGCACCTGGTATGTTTTTCAAGCCACTGTACTTGAAATTCAGAGTCGGCCATGTGGGATCCAGCACCTTAATCACCATGCCACCTACTGGCCCCAGACCCTACAATTTTGACCATTATATCGTTTATTGTTCCTTCACCTGTATATATTTTCTCCTTTATATTTTTCCCATAAAATTCATTAAGAACTCATTTTTGGCCACCTGCTCCATCTCCTAGTATTTCTGGCATACATAAATCACCAAGTTAACTAAAGTGAAAGCAGTTGCTATAAAAGCAGTTAGAGAACCAAACATTAAATTATATTTTCAGAAAAATATAAAATATAAATAAATGAGGTTATGTTTAAGGACAAGTCCTAACTTTGAGACAAATACAGGAAACATGATTTCATGATTTCAAGAATAAATTTAGGAGCCAGCAGGTGGTGGTGTGGTTGAGGGCTCTGGACTCCCACATGACTGACTGTGTGGTTCAAGTCTCAGACCTGGTGGCTTAAAACTCATGCCAGGTGTGTGTGCCCATGTGGTCAAGATCCTGAGAGGAGAAGGGAGGAAGAGGGATTGCAATGTCACCATCCCCCTAGAGGTGGGTGATTTCTCACTTTCTGTCTGTCTGGTAACTGTATATGTTCTATGCAAAAAAAAAAAATTATATACTTATTATAACCATAGTTTAAAAATCAAACAAGAAAACAACACAAACTGGTTTAATTGCCTTTCCTCTTTAAGCTCCTACTGCCGCTGTTATTTTGCAGGATGTTTTTCCATAATTTTTTATTATTTGTTTTCTTGTCTGTGTGCTTGTTCTTGCCTGGAAATATCTGAGTAGATCATTGTGAGAACTAGAGAATGTAACTATCATTTAATAAAAAGCCCAAAACTGTCCGGTCACTCTTTGGTATTGAAGCATAGTAATACATACCTACCCTCCTACAGTTTTGTGATGATGTTTATTTAACTGGAAGACATCTTTCAAAGAAATCTGGAATGACAACCCATTTTTATAGGGGAGTTTTGTTTGCTATTTTAAATTTGAAGTAATTATCTAGACATCCACAGGGAAATGGCTGACAAACTTGTGAAAAGCCAGACTGAATCTTGAAAATACAGAACTAGGAAGTGATACAAATTTATGAATCATTGGCTTCACTGATAATTGTAAGTATAGGCATAAAGTCCAATTCCCTGAGTTTGAATACTTGCTTCATCTTTTATGAATTGTAAATTTGTCTGTAAAACGTAGATCATAGGAAATACGCTGGGCTGGCTTCATAATCTAGTGATTAAGGGAGTTGGATCCCACATGGGATAGTTCAAATCCCAGCCCCGGTATTGAAAAATACTCTGGGCACATATGCATGTGTGCATAAAGTCCCATAGGATGAAAATACATAGAGGACGCTGGACTCCCACGTAGTCGACTGTGGTTCGCGTCCCGGACCTGATGGCTTAAAACTCATGACGGGCATGTTTCCGGGTGTACCCAGGATCCTGAGAGGAAAATGGAGGAGAAGGGATTGTGGTGTGGCCATCCCCCTTAGGGGGTGATTTCTTGCTTTCTGTCTCTCTGTCTGGTGAGCACATGTGTCCTATGGGAAAAACCCCTAAAAAAAAAAAAGATACATAGAGGAGAAGGCATTATGGCATGACCACACCCCACTGAAAGGTGCTTTCTCTCTCTTCTTCTTCTTCTTCTTCTTCTTCTTCTTCTTCTTCTTCTTCTC